TTCTTTTAAATAACAATAAAAAGAAAAGGGGGAATATATATATATATATATATATATATACAGAAAAAGAGTATTTATATAATAGGGAAAGAACAATAATACAACCGGGTTATAAGAGAAATAATAATAATTTATATATGTATATATTTATATATTTATTTATTAAGACAATAAACAACAAAATAGCAGTAAATAAATAAATAAATAAAAGAAAAAGAAGAAAAAGGAAAGGAAGAAAAGAAGTACCTTTCCTTGTTGACCTCCTCCTGCCTCCTGACGTTTCTGAGGAAATAAGAGGAAAGAAAAAGAAGAAAATTAATTAATTAATTAATTAATTAATATAATTAATTAATTATTTATATAATAATGTATATATAATTAAATTCTATATATTTATATATATAAATTATTTATTATACATATAATTGTATTTATATGCACAGCGGGATATAAGAAGCAAGAAGATAAAAAGGAAGAAAATAAGATAAAATAAATAAATAAAAAAGGAATAAAATAAATAAAGAATAAAATAAATAAATAAATTATTTATACTTATGCATACCTGTATGTAAATAAGCAGATAAAGTTTTGTCTATTTGTCCGCCAACTTTCTTATCTAAATCATCATCCATAGAAGGAAGAATACCTGAATAAATAAATAAACAAATAAATAAATAAATAAATTATTTATATATTTATTTAATATATAATAAATATAAAATAAATAAAGAAAGAAAGAAGAGAAAGAAAAACGCATGCATACAATTTCCTATTCAAAAAAAAAAAAAAAAAAAAAATTAGGGTTTAGGGTTTAGGGTTTAGGGTTTATTACCATGTTGAACAAGTAAATCAACCCTTTTTCTTAATCTTTCTTTAAGAATAGGATCCTGATTAATTAATGTAAATAAATGTCTATCTGTATAATTAAGAAGAAATAATCTACGCATATCCTCATTAACAGATAAACAACCTGTACTTGTTAATTCATTATAAGAAGGAGCAGGAGAAATATTATTCAATAATACTTTTTTTTGTATATCCCCTGCATGCATGCACACACAAATACATATACAATATATTTCTTGGGGCTTCCTACTTTTGCATGCATGCATGCATGAATGCATGCACACATAACATATTTCTTGGGGCTGGCTAATTGCATGCATTCATTCTTTGCAAAAAGAACTAATATAAACAACGAACTACTCGTACACAGTATAATAAATAAATAAATAAATAAATAAATAAATAAATAGAGAAAAACGTACAAATTGCCTTGACGTGTTTCTCTATATCTTCTGGTGTAGCAAAGAAGCCGCCTTTTGTTATTTTTTCTTCTTTTTGTATTCCTTCTTGTAAATGATGAGTAAATAGATAATTAGCTGCATTTACTGTTCTTCTTCCTATATCTCTAGGGTAAATACCTAATCTTTCTTCTTCTTTTGTACGAGGAAATACATTTATACCTACACTACATATATCTGCCTCTGTTCCTCTTGATGTTGTTATATATTCCTATATAAATATATAAACAAAAGAATACAAACAAGAATAAATGAATAAAAAAGAACAAAAGAATAAAGAAGAAAAAAGGGAAAAATATAATACAAAGAAATGCATAAATATGCAATAATTGCATGCAGGAATTAATACATGAATAAGCATAAGTAGCAACAAATGCATACGCTAATCAGCAAGGGGAAGAAATATACAAGTAAATATATAAATAAACAAATAAAATAAATAAGATATATAAATAAAATTAAATAAAATAAATAAATAAATAAATAAACAAATAAATAATACTTACAGCAACACCACTATGAAAAGTAACTCCTCCTTCTCTTCTCCCTTTTGCTAATCTTGCACCTAAATCTTTTATTCCTTCTGCTTCTTTTTTTCTTGCGGATAATTCAACGTCTTCTAGACCCTGAAATAGAGTAAACTGGGGAGGAATACCCCCTGGGGGGCCCCCTGGGGGGCCCCCTGGGGGCCCCCCTGGGATAGGAGTGGGAGGGGGGCCCTCTCCCTCATAGATTACCTGTACTCTAGGGTACATCGTTGGTACTGCACCTGCTGCTACTCCTGGTGCTGCTGCTGCTGCTGCTGCTGCTCCTCTTCCTGTTGGTGGTTGTGCTGCTGCACCAAATTCTCCAGCGAAACCTCCTGTTGGAGGGGCCCCTGTAGGGGGGGCCCCTGCTGCACCGGAACTAAATCTCATAACATATCCAGGATGCATAGGAGGAGTAGCAGAAGGTGGAGGGGGCCCCCCTCCTCCTTGTACAATAGAGGTGGATACCTTGAATGAGCTACTTGCGGTGTCTGCGCAGCAGCAAAAAGAGAAAGAAAAACATGTATTTGTGTAATTATTGCATCAGCAACAACAAGAGTAACAATAACAACAACAGCAACAGCAGCAGCAACAACAGCAGCAGGAAAAGGAGTTGCTTACTATTAATAGCAAAGAGAACACGACTAACAATAGTTTGTTGTAATTCAGGACTTATTCGTGCATGCAGAGGTAATTGTATTTCTTCTTGTATTTGTTGATCAATTTCTTGTGCACTTTTCTCTAATTTTGCTGTTAATTCTGCTTTACGTTGCGCAACTTCTTTGCATAATGTTTCTATATCTGTAAGAATCATGAATCCATTAGATAGATGAATAGTTGAATCTTTTCTTTCTTTTGTTATTTTCTCTAATATTTCCCCTATTAATTCTATTACTATATCTAATAAATGATAAGCAATTGTTAATGGACTAGATAAACTATTCATAAGAAATGAATAAACATCCCCCATAGATATTATTAATTGATCTGTGCTTGCTCCTATCTTTGCTTGTAGGTTATGTAGTAATACCTTTGCTGTTGTTGTTAATACATACACTGTACACATAAATACACAAACAAATACAATTAATTCATTAAATTAAATTGTTATTATTGTATATTTACGCCCCTTAATACATATTGATACATAATAGTAGGGTAGGGATAGGAACACGTACTTCCTGCTTGGAGGTAGTAAGCAGCTGCGTAACAAACAAACAAAGACACAAAATAAGACAATTACTCATAAAATTATTAATGAATAAATATAAGTTATATTTAATTATATATACTGAGGTGAGAAAGGAAGAAGGGAGGGGAAATGCATACATTGTAGTACTGCTTGCACTCTATACACCGTCTCTGCCGCCTTTGCTATTTCCTCTACATTTCCTCTTTCTCCCGCTGAGTAAAAAGACAAACACAAAGTATATTTAGTCAATTAGCTGAGTCTAATGGTATTTGGTGCAATAGCAGCACCATAAAGGTGTACGAGTAGCTGTATTTACTGCAGAAAACACCAAGAACATATCCTTCAGATAATATGCATTAGGTCTAATACTAGCATGCATGCAACTTGACACACAAGGCTATTCAAGCCCCAAACACGCAATCTATAGATTCACCTCGTCTAAGTACTTCTTCACCTCTTCTACGCGCCTCCTCTGAGCGCTCCCTGAATTGTGCTGCTGCTTCTTCTTCCCTCCGTTGGACTTCTTCTTGAGTAGGAACGTCAGCAAAGCTGTGGGGCCCTGCAAGTCGTTGTGGTGTTAATGATGTGCATGCAAGCGAATACGCACACACAGATGCATGCAGTCCTAATGAATGACTGTGCTTGTTTCTATTGGCTGCGATGCTTACTGTATAGTGTAATTAAGGGTAATTGTGTTGCATGCAATTAGACTATTATATTATTTTATCTTGCATTTGCCGCTACCCGTTGGCATGCAAACCCTAGTAGATGGTGAGTAAGCCATCTGAACTGTTAGTACTTATGGTGTATAATTTAGGGTTAAGGGTTTACTGGCAACTTGTTGTGCAGTCTTTGTATCTAATTGTAGCAGAGAAAATTTTTTCTTTTTTTTTTCTGGTTTTTCCAGCACTCTCGATGGGACACATTCAATATCTGAAACGGCACATCACAAGCATGCATATGCATGCATGCACGCATGCAAGCATGCAAAAAATAATTAACATTGCAATTTCTTTAATATCTAAACCCTCTTGTTCATGAACAAATTATAAACAGCAGTGCCAAGCAGACACGAAACCCTAAACCCTGAACAGCCTGCGGGCTAAGAAGCACCTCCGATGGAGCGAACTGCTGCTGCATATTCTCTGATGGTTTGGCAGAAACTCGTTTCCTCTCCTTCTCCAGCACAGTACTCGGCAGGAGACTGGATGGCGTGTAGCGTCGTCCTTGTTATACGTTCCTGCACCTGCTGCAGGAAGGCATCTGCAGCGCACATTGTATCACCAGCAAACCCATCGTAAGCCCCTCCCCTACGGCAGGTCTTCTTGCACAAGCAGCAGCAAAAGCAGCAATAGAAGCAGCACCAGCAGCAGCAGCAGTAACAGAAACAGCAGGGTGAATTTGCTGCTTTTCTTAATGGCACTCGCCTTGCTCAGGCGTGACAACAGATGGATCCTCCGGCGTGCCTGAAGACAAAAGGAGGAGGCAGCAAACCAAGGAACCTTCCAAATCGCAGAAGCAGCTGTCTGCAGCATGATTACTGAGATGTTCCTTGCTGCAGCATTGCTGCTGAATTGCTGCAGACCTGTAGAGCCGGTGTAGGAAGAAGCAGACAAGTAAGTTGATGCCGTAGAGCCCCTGGAGGTACTCCAGCCACCTATGCTACCTATGCTGCTGGCTGTGCTGCTCGTCCTGCTGCTCCTTATGCTGCCAGTATCCTCCGAAGGAAGCCGCTCATACTGAAGAAATATTGAATCTTCTGGACCCTTCGATCCCATTGAAGGATTGGCAGGAAGAGAACTACCCGATTGAGGGTGCAGCAAGCCTACATGCGCATCTGCTAGGCCTGCAGCACCTGCGCATGCAAAAACACAGGGAAGGAACAGGAATTGTGGTGGGTGTACTAAGTAATGCAGGCTATAACTAGAGAACAGTGGTGTGCACGGCGCAGATGAAAAGGGAGAAAGACATGTTTTTGTTGCAGTGTAGCAGGTAAGCCCAGCTAATATTGTTTGTATCGTCTTACCCAACTTCCCTAAGGCTTGAACATCTGCAGAACCAACAGAGATGCCGAGGACTAAGAGGATTGGCCCTGCGGACAAGACAAACATAGAAGGGAATTTGGCTGCGCTGTGAATTGTGCAACTCAAAGGGCTCCGGCTCGGGGAGCTTCCCTCTTCGCTAATTAGCTGTTTATATTCATGAACAATTTGACCAATTATTCGGATAAAAGCGAGTAAGTGGTCAAGAACTGTCCTGGCCAGTGTAGGTGATGAGGCAACCGTGGAACGAGCACTGGGATAAAAGGGCGAAGACCGCTGAAGCCAAGAAAAAGAACCGTCTATATACTTTGGTATTTTCCCTGACATTCAGTTTCTTACCGCAGGGCAAGATCCTTTTAAACATTGTGAATGTGTCTGGGTATAATTATTGTCCAATTTTCCCTCCTTGCGATCATCTCATGCGGATGTGTTTTTGCGTCTAAGTCACCTCGTTGTCGTAGTCAGAAAAAATTCAAGAAAAAGTCAAAGAACTTCGGGAGCTACAACAAAATATACATGCGATTTGAACACAAAAACACGATTTTTATTCGGTTAATAACAAAATAAGTCCAGAAAAAGGAACTGCAACCTTCCCATCTATAAACAGCTAGACAGACACTGTAGGGCCCTCACGCCAGGGTCTGTCTGCCGTTGTTGCGAGTAGCGGAGGCAGCAGGGCCTTCGTCACCCCTTAAAAACCCGCCCTAAGGAATGTATTTCCTCTTCTTTTGTTTTAGCAATTTTTACTTTAAATTAAATCTATTTATTTCTTTCCCGCCGCTGCATTCATTGCTGCCAGTGACCAGGTCCTTCCACCGACTGGACCAGCAACTTCTGCTTGGCGCAGCAAGACTCATGCAGTTCGTCTTTCTCCTGCTCGCAAAATAAGTTCTACAATAACATTGAAATATTAATATTTGTGTTACTATAGTTTTAAGATTAGCACTAATATTAATACCAGTACTGTTTTTACGGTTCCAGCATCTAAACGACTCACATGTTGCGGAAGTAGCCCAGACCAAACCGCTGGAGAGTACCTGGCGAAAGTAGAGAGTGTACGGCCTTTAAATTTCAATTAAAAATTAGATAGAAAGGAGCAGCATATCATTTCCACGTATTCGTCGCTTAAAATGCAAACGCGTCACGAGAAGCTGCCGATTATTGTTATTTACTGCCGAGAAACACGCGATAAAGACGTGGTCACTCGCAAGCTGTATATAGTAATAGCATATGAAGTGTAACTCGCTAGACAGTTGAACAAATTCGCCCCTCCCCAGTATGATATTGTCTTTGTTTAGCGCCTAAATGACTACAAAAATCGTGCCCCAGTTATGTCTGGGTGCTGCAGCACTGTCTCTCCGCTTGCACTGCTGTCTCTCTACTTCAAACGCCGCCCCGTATATTCCCGGTGAACTTTACAGTTGGTGCCTCATCAATTGACGCGCGCTCTGTTCAAACAGCCTTTCTCAAGAAATGTGGCAGTCGGAATTCCGTAGCTGTCCGTATCCGGGGGGAATGCTCATCGCAGTCTCCTACAGTAGATGGTGTCTGGCGAGTTTAGGCATACCTAACGAGATTCGAACTGAGGTATGGTTCCCCCTAAAACCTTCTCTCCCCTTTCTCAACCTCATTCTGTGGGTATATCTGAACAGTGCAGCTAAGGGCACTGCAGCAACACTGTTACCCTGCCGATTGATAGCAACAGTGTTTATGATAAACTGTGAATAAAATACTGCATAGACTCCCAGTGGATAGAGTCAGAAAGTTTATCGTGTGCGCTATGAAGTAGAGGCTGTACTCGGGTCTCTACCTTCCTGCCATGGACGCACGAAGAAGAAGCTAGCGAGGCACAAAAATGGGCTTGCATTCTTCTCTTTGGTATTTGCCATGATAATATGCATTACATTTAACACAGAAATCGCGGAGTTAGCTAACTAGCAAGCAACCAGCCGTCCAACGCTGTGGCTGCGTTGAATCAGAAGGGAGTTTTGCTTCGAGATTCTGGAGAGTAAGAAGTTGCAAATCATCATTCGAGCACATGCAGAATATTCTTCATTGCTATGTACTCAGGTGTTTATACACAACAAATTTCATGCCTTCACCCTTAGCGCGCCACGTAATATGCATTCGATGCATGCTTCGGCACAAAGGTGAAACCCTTCGGGGGTGGACCCAAAAACATACTCGAGATCTCTACCCAGTCCTGCAACACAACGAGCAGAGAAGACAACCATAACTACCGTCAAACCCAAGGGGGAAATAAATTATAAGTTCACATAGACACAAAACCACAAGTGGAGCACTGCGCGCAGATCCAACAACAACCTAATGCCACGGCAGCATTGAAACCTTATGTTAGGGTCTACAGAGAGGACGGGGTACACTATTTTTCACATGAAATATACGCATACAAGTGAAATTATTCAAATACAGCTTCAATAATCCATTATTTGATAATCACTATTTGCACTGTTGGGCCAGTGTGGCAAGGAGGGGCACCTGGGTGTTTGGGCTTGATAGTTTGACCTCCAAGTCAGAGCGGCCCTTGAAAGGACTCGGGCGCCACTGAATGAGCTGCGGCTCCAGCTCAAGGAATGGAGGGGGAATATAACGATGCGTAAATGACAAAAGTTCGAGGAGGAAACGACGCGTTGTTGCGATACCACGGCGGTCGCTACCCCAGTGCTCAAGTCCGTTGTTAACAAATTCCTGCAACAGGAAAAGAACCATTGTCTGATAGGCATTTGGTTCTTACTTTCCGAAACCGAATGTTGAGTCGTCGAAAACAAGAACTAAGCATAAACAAGCAGGAATATTAGCGATGCGCTCTCCTTTTATCGTATTTTTCTCAGTATGATGGGTGGCTGTTTCCGTAACTTATTGCGCATGCAAATATGGCTGTGAAAACAGTTTGAGCGGAGCAGATTTCATTGCTACAAATGCAGCAGCATGCACTTAATATACTGACACTATCTTGGTGTGCACTCCATGAGGGGAGGGGTAGCTGTACCTTTAAGAGCTCAAACCGTTCTGGTGCTGAGATATCCCAAATTCTTCTCTCCTTTATTTCTGTAAATATCCACGGTTTAATAAGGGCCCCTCGCCCTATCATTAGGGCGTCCATTCCAGCTACAGATTCGCGATACTGATATTCTGCACTGCTGAGAATGTCGCCGCATCCTGAGAAAGACGCAAAATGATAATAAAAATAATAGCATATTTGTCACAGACAGACAGCCGATCGCATGAAGAACAAGACCCGAAACAATCCACCTTCTCAGGTAGTCAGGCGTCAACGCTGTGAGCCAACAATCATTTTGTTCAAATTTAACCGACACTCACATCAAGAAAGAAACATCTGCACTACATATGCTTACGCATAAATATACAAATGCATGCATGTGCAAGTGCAGGAGCATCCAGAATTGACTAAAGCACATTTACATGCGAATCAATAGCAAATACTTGAACTCTCACCAACTAACAAGACGTCTTCCGCCATATGCTGCTTGCAAGAAGAGAGATACTCCCAATCTGCTGATTTTGAATACCGCTGTTGCGCAGTTCGACCATGAGCAAATATAGCACTCACCCCACAACGAGAAAGCCTGCAGATGTACAGCAGAGAAATCAAAAGCACGCCGTTGGTGTCTGCTTGACGCAGAAGGCACATGCGGTGACTGCTTGGTGGGTGCACAAAGGCATAAATATTACGTATACATGCATAGAATGCGTATGCTGGAATTATCTGCTTACCTGCCTATAACGTTGTGGAGCTGGTGCTTTTTGCCGTAATGGGCTGTCCTGACCTTCAAGGTAACAGGGATATCGGGCGAGACGTCCATTAAACTCTTCACAACAGACTCTACAGCTGCAGGCTTCTCCAGCATACAAGAACCCGCTGCACACAGAAAGAAGACGCGGAATCACAGTTCATCAACAGCACTGCAACAAGTCAAACAGAGAGTGCATTAGACATGCGCAAAAGTATACATATTTTCTGATATGCAATATATAGCAACACGCACCTTTGAATTTTCGGTGGAGTTGGTCGAGGGGGCACGCGATATTGAGATCGATGAAATCGCACTGAATGTTGTTGTCTTTTATCAACTTTCCACATCTACAGCACAATCAAAATATATGCAATACAGACGCATAGGCACCCATACAGTACAAGGTTTGCAATGCAGCGAAACACTGCATGCCGTGAAACACAACAAGAATTCAATACCACATATACACTACTCCACCATACAGAGCTGGACTATACTACTGCACATACAATGCAATACAGTGCATCATAGCAGCAGAACAAACTGCAAGTGTTCAAGCGTTAGCCTCTGCTTTGCAATTCAGCAACTGAAACAGACAGAGAAACAAACATAAAACAGCAAATAAAAGCTTACTCAGAGGCCACATCTGGAAACCCTGCAGCAATTTGGATTCCAAAGGTTTTCTCTTCACGATGACGCCTGCATAGCGAAGCCAACAGCTGTTTTTGCCTTGAATGTCTATCTGCATTCAATGCAACTTCGCGTGTCCTGCTGCAACTACTACACACGTTATGGATTACACTTTGTATATATTCACTTTGCAGAGAGGCACCCCCACCCCCACCCCGTCCGCCTAAAGTTTATATTCTGCACATTCATGCCAACATCTATTCGCCACTCTATATCGTTGCCAGAGAGACGGCATACAGAAGGAAGGGCCTGAGGGAGCTTGTGGCCTCTGTGAACCCGTCTAAGTCTAGTTCGAGATAAAAACGATTGAAACCAATGCGATTAAGCTAAGGGATTGGGTGGTTCCATCCAAAAAATCAACTGCAAAATTTTTAAGCGTATGAAATAATTCGAACGGATGATGGGGACTACCTTAGCAAGCAAAGTTCCGAGGCCTTCCCTTCAACTAAAGACTGGGCCACAGCCATTTCACTAACCTGACAGAGAACATCGCAAATAATAGATACAGATACACCATATGTAAATGCTTAAATGTGTTCATTCCTAGATGTACAGCTATAGGTATGTTCGAGTCTATGCAGCTCTGCACTGCACAGATGAGAATCCAATCCAAAATAATCTAAGCGTAAAAGCACGTTCATATACAGAATGCAGAGGTACGAATAACAAAATATTCTGATGCAGGACTCTGAACTAAATTAGGAAATCCAAGGTGAAATGCATTCAGCTAACGTTCTATTTCCTCCTTGCAGATGTGCTAATATGCATAGTTATCCATGACTGCATTTAAGTAAGCAAGCAGTCGTGCATTTACTACTGGTGCCTGCATGTACAAGTGTATTTCTATCTGCATTATTTTGGACTCTCAACTAACGCGGGCATGCAGTATTGCGCGCATTCCCGCTTTCATGGATGCATGCATTGCTACATGCGTGATTGCTTGCAAGCCTCACAGTCACGTCAGCTCCAAGGCGCGTACAGAGTCTTCTAAATGGCAGATTCCCTACAGTTGTTAACGGGGCCAAAAATGTCTTTCCTCGAATATGTTTTGCAAACTTCCTTCTCCTGTCTTCGGGACTCGTATCATCAATACACGAAGTGTCCACTGCGCCCACTCTGCCAGCTCTAGACACAGCAGTAGGAGCAGCAGCTGCATCATCACCAGTAGCAGCGTCAGCGTCAGCGTCGCAGTAACCAGGCCCCCCTTCAGCACCCTCATCCTTGACTGTTGAAGGATCAGACGCCTCGTGGTTAAGGGTGGAGGAAGAAAGTGGCGAGGAGGCTGACGGCTCCGCTCCGTCTGCGGCCTGTTTGTTTTTGCCGTAGTGGCGTTTACGCCTTGGTGCCAGAGATACCGCAGAATGCGTTGTTAGAATATTAACTTCATCCGATTTGTGCTCTTCTTTGTACTTCTTCAAATCCAACAAGGTAACAGGCCTTCCGTCCCTATGCATATTCACCCCTGCGTGCAAGAAGGAATGCAGCCATCCATCGCACATTGAGCCCTTGCATTCAAGAGGAAATGTATCAACCCTTAACCCTAGGTCCAAGGCAAAACAGTTCCATGATGAGGGTGTCGCAAGAAACGCTAACCACTAAGCCTTAAAACTTAAACCGGAGTGGTTCAAGATTGGGTTACTGCACGACTGAGCAGAAACGGTGAATACTGCGTGCATCTAAAAGTCTCACCCTCTGCATTAAGGTGGGGGAGGCCGAAGCGACAGCAGCAGCCATATGGGCACATGCCAAAGCGCAGGAAGAATATGCATTCTCCCGTTAAGTCTTCAGGCCTTGTCTGTCAATGCAAAAGCAAGAGAAAGACAAAGACAACATAAGCCAACGAATAGAACACTCCGGCAAAAGGAAAATCCATTGCCATTTCTGCCCCCCCTCCAGGGATTAGGGTTTAGGGTTTAGGGGTTAGGGGTTTGGCCTGCAGACCTTCATGAATGCCGCAACATCATGCTCTTTGGTGCAGTTAGGAATATCGCATGCGCCGCAAGCTGCTTGGGAGAGGCACAGGACCTATTCACACACAAAAAGATTGAGAATCAAAGACAACAAGAATGCAGACAACAAGAATGCAGGGAAAACCACAATGGCATTTCGAAGAGCAACAACTGAACATCACGAGAGAAAACACGAAAAAGTACCTATGCAAACAAGATCTGGCTTCGTTGCTGTAATACAGCGATACTCATACACTTTGTCTTCTTTGGCAATACTGCCAAAGACAATAACGCCAAAAGTGCAACAGTAATATACATGCATAGCTTTATAGTATAGTGATGCGCAATGCAGAGAAATATGTGAGGTCACTTACACTCCCTGCACATTCGTTGGAGACCTGTTCTAGGTTCTTGTGCCGCATGGCCGCTGTGTTGAGGCCCTTCCTTTTCTTGCATGCAGAGGATTCTATGGGGACTTCCCTTTCATTTGAAGCGCTAATAGTTTCTGGTTTGCGCTGTTCCTCTTCTGCTACTTCCAACAGAGGATTTCCCAGGTCCGGGTTGCTACCCTGCTTTGCAGATTCACTGTTACACTTCTGTGGATCAGTAGCTCCATTTGCAGGCCCTAGTGCTGCATCATTTACAGCAACACTTGGTGTATACGGAGGCTGTGAGGTTCCTCCGGGTGCTGAAGACGCAGCGTCGTATTCAGGCTTGTTCGATGGAATGGAGCCACCTTCTGCGAGTGCAGCCTGAGGCCGTGCTGCAACCTTTATTTTTTCTGCATCTGAATTTGCGCGCCCCCCTAACGTCGAATCTGCATAATCGTCCATAGTCACGCCTGCACCCATCAGAATGCTGGGGGCAGAGCTGAAGTCGAAGTTTTGCTGTCTAAGGAATGCAACGGTGCAGCGCAGCGCCTTTTGCTGTAGCGGCTTCGGCGTCGGAATTTGTGCATCTGCAGTGGGGTTGGGGCCATTATTCGACTCCGAAGAAGTAGAAACATCTACATGTGAAGTTAGAGGCTCTGAAGCGTTTGATTTCAAGAATGGTGAGGCGGCGGCGCCCAACCGATCTGACCGGCCAGACACGAGGTAGTCAGGAACCTGCGGAGCTTCGCCGTCTTTGACGCAAAATGCTGCATGTGCAGCAAGAAACACTCGAGGAAAGGCAGAGGGCAGGTGGGAATCGTTGAAACGGACAAACGACGGCAATGGGGGACCGTCACACGATGCCGATGCTGCGATGTATGTACACAATGGGTCGGCTACAGCGTCCACAAGCTTAGATTTCTCTCCTGCTGAGGAGGCATGCAAAGAGTCAGTGGTCATTGTAATGTAAGGGAAAACTAAGGGCAAACATATATGCAGGCTTCGAAGATGTCTAGTTCCCTGGATGAATGAGATAGTGAAAGAGGTACATGCACACAATGCAGCTTTCCGAATTTCAAATTCCGCATGTAGTGGCCATGCTGCAAAACAAATAACACAAACTCATTGTAAACCATTATTTCAGTTGATGTATCTATCTTGGTGCCACTTCTGATGGGGCTTCGATGGTTGCGGGGGCCCCCTGCATGCGTCCCACACAGTTGGTGGAGCCCATAGCACAGCGATAATTGTAAATATTGCAGTTTTTACTGCTCATTTATGTTCGAAACCGCATTCTGTCGGGAAGCATGAATTTATTCATGAGGAAGTTTCGAAGGTTTAGCTTCCCTCTCTCGCCAGGAAAATGACCCTCCCGCAGCAGCCGGCGGGCTCCGAGGTCGTTGAAACTTCACCTTCTGCTCCAAAGTCTCAAATTCAAGGAACCCAAAACAATTCAGCAGCTCTGTCGTGGGCGGCAAGAGCCTCGAAGGCCCCAGCAGCCGCCCCTCCACCCAAGTCCACGGGGCCCCGCATGGGGGCCCCAAAGGGGCCCCCGACGGAACCTGCTGTAAATGATACTGGTAAAGGGAAAGTGGCAGTGCAGAGTCCCTCAGCCTCTGCTGCGCCGAAGAAGCCTGTACCGCTAGCCCTACCTGCTTTCGCTCGGGCGTCTAGAGAACTCCCTGTGGTTGTTGTAGACGCTGGTGCTCTGATGCGGGTAGAAGCATTAGATAGGTACAGAGGGAAGTGCACCTTTATTACAACAACACAAGCTGCACAGGAAGTGCGAGATGCTGTGGCACGGCAGAGGATTGAATCTCGCATGTTGGAGGTACACACACTCGAACCCTCAGCTGCCGACAGGGGTTGGGCAGAGAAGTTTGCTGATATGACAGGAGACCTTCCCTTCCTCTCGCAGACAGATCTGGATCTTATTGCACTTACATACATGCTTCAAAGAGCAACTGGTGAGACGGAGCACCTAAAGGCGAGACCCCCCGCCTTTGAGTTCTTCAGCGAGGTCGAGCTGATGCAGAAACTGGAGAACGATGGGGCTGGAAAACAAGTGTGGACACTTCAGCACAATAGCTGGAACAGCAAGTCTTCTTCCAGTGTTCCTAGAAATTCGACTGATACAAATAAAGACTCTACAGAAGATGCAGAAAGGGAGGAGGAAGGCGAATCTGCACACACTGAGGATGAAGAGGATGATATGGACGCGGAGGAGGGATGGGTGACAGAGGAGGTGTTGAGGGAGCATTTGGGTCTTGCTGCTTCGAGTGATAATTGCAATCATGAGGCTTCCGCAAAAGAAAATGAATCAAATGAACCAAATGAATCGCAAGAAACAAACTGTCAGGAAGTGGACAATTCGCTTTCCAAAGCATTTGGTGGGTTGGAGCTGCGCGCTGATATGCAAGAAATAGAAGACCTTGTTGCATGCATGACCGCAGACTTCTCGATGCAAAATGTTTTGCTGCAAATGGGACTCAAAGTCCTCACTGTCGACGGCAGGAAGATCCGCACTGTGAAGATATGGGCGCTTCTCTGCAGGTGTGCTGCTGCAAACCAGCGTGTATTTTTGTTTCCCTGGGAAATGCGTGTTATTGCTGTCCCTAAACTTGCGTCCTTTTCCTGTTCTAAATCCGCAGCGCACGATTCAAATATGACACCTAATAAATGATTGTACTAGTTTTTGAACTTCTTGTGTGGAAAACGCACGCTGTGGCTGCAGGGCCTGTGGGCATATTGAAAGGAAAACCCGACTCTTGTTTTGCTCCAAGTGCGGGCATTATACTCTAGATAGGACCCCGCTGTATTTCGACCAGAATACGGGGAAAATATTCATTTTTGATGGACGCAAAAAGATTTCCAAGAGGGGGCAGGTGTACTCGATCCCCAAGGATAAGGGAGGGAAGCACTCGGTGAGCTGTTCAGATTCCATATTCTGCTTACCTATACAGACTATCGCACGATAAAATATGATACGATATGCTTTCCTAACTGAGAAATATAATATTACCGTCGGAACCCAGGCAGGCAAAGACGTGCAAGCAGACGCAAAACTAGAGCAAAACAAACAGCACCGATAAGCAGAACTGCAGGCAGGATGTACAGTGAAATTTCATTGCATTGATGAGTTCTTCAGTCTAGCTAATAAACAGCAATTAGCTTCTTTCAGCTGTAAAATGAGAAGACTAAGGGAACACCTCGTGTGCACAGGCGCACCGAGTTTCACTTCACCGCAGGTTGTTGCCAAATGGCATTTTATACATGGGTGTGGATGTGGGTATGAGTGTGTAAAACTTTTGCGTTTTGTATTTTTTTGCGCTTTTGGATGTTGCTGCATGTGCTGGCTTCCTGTGGTATACCTTGCAGCGTCCGATTATCTTGGCAGCTGATCAGCTCATGATGGGAGGCCTTGATCGTGAACTCAGACACAAAGAAAACTTATGGAGAAAAGACGTTGAATCCAAAAATCCCTTCTCGCCTGTAAGTCTCCATGCCCTCTATGTTGCTTTTACCCTTAACCAACTCTTTATCAAGAACAGCTATCCAAGGCGAGACACCAATTGGGGGGAAGCAATTAATATTAGTAAGACCCCCTCACTGTGGTGCTGCTTGTCTTTGTCTTTGTTTTGCAGAATTATTGCCTAGAGGCACAAAGCTGGCATGTGCGGTCTTTCACAGCTTCTGGCAGAGCTGCTGCTGCAGCACCTCCTAAAATTGCAGTAGGACTCGGGCCTGGCAATCCCAATTCGAACAGATGGATGAAGAATCGCAACAGGCACCGCAGATAATCTGGTTGATTTGCACTGCTTATCCAGGATACCATCTTTCGATGGCAGTGCTCCTTGTGTTTTGAAGGCACCTCACCGTTGGTCAGCTGCCGTGGAGGCAACGTATCACGGCAAAATGTAAACTTCTGTACTGCGTGCAAAGCGCAGCATACTTTCCATAGCGGGCTTTGCCTTGTACACGGCAAAATGCACTAGGCCGCTACAACCGCATGATGGCTCGGACAGCCCTGCTCTCCGCAAACTGTGCAGTGAGATGCAGGCAAAGAAGAACTTCCTTGTAAACCCAACCTGTGGATTAGACATAAAGTGTTTAGCGTTGGGAGCTGCACAGGCTGTAAACACGACAATCATTCTCGTATAGGTGTTTTGAATGCACCACGACTTTCGTCTTCCTTCCACAGTTACCGATTTGCCGACATCAGATAGCGTTGATGTTGGGTAATAATCGTAACAGCAAGAAGCAGCAGGGATACGTAGGACTGGGAAGCCTCTTGCCCTGTGCTAATCTTCTGACCAATACTCAGTGGAGGCACGGGATGCAACTCTTCCACGCATGTGAAGACTGACAGCACAAATAAATTTTTGTCTTGGCTGATTTGGGGATGGACAGCAGCAAGTCAACACCGGTATTGGCTCCCTCGAGGGTGAGCACACTTAAGGGTGAGAAGCTGGAAGCGGCTTTCCTTTGTCGAAACAGAGGGTGAATAGATCACTGGTTCATGGGGGCTGCTTCAGCCCTCTGTGCAACTTTTCGCCCTGCTATTTCTAACCTGTGCTGGCCCTATTTCAGTAGCAAACAGTGGGCGACGCGTAAGGGATTCTTCTATGTGTGTTTTTGCCTTGGTGAAGATTAATCGCCCGTATATACTCCAATGGCATTGCACGGTGCTCGCATGTGCAAGGAAACTTGTTTCTTTTTTTTTTTTCAAAGGACCAGAGAAGTCGACGCTGGAAGTATGCATGCGTTCGTCACGCAGCTGTGACGCTTATGGGTCCAACATGAGCGAATTCTACAGGATGTAACGAAAGAGACCAACTAGATAATGTCACAATGCAACAAGCCAGTAATCTGAAGATGAAACGCCACGCGCTGCCGACCCTCCAGCACGACATACCACCCGTTAACACCCTCTACACGACATGTCATTGGGCTTCCTAATGGAAACATACTAAGCAGTGCTGTGGGCGTTATGAAGCGCCTTATTATAATGTTTTGTTCATCTGCTGCTCTTCACTCTCAGGAGGGGGTGAAAAAGAGCTGTGCTGTGCTGTACTCTCACCAGCCCCTCAGTACAACAACCCCTCCAAGCCACTGCCGACAGGGGGGCTGCATGATGCATTATTTCCCATAAAATCCGGAATTCGGGGGTTTCATTTTTTTAAACTAAACGAATTGTTGAATAAGCTGAACACACACCAGCTAATCTCAGTATTTGGCCTGCTGCGTACCAGCGCCACTGTTTACTCAGTTGTGCCTTCTGCCTTACCACATTCATGGCATCCGCGCGGCCCTCTACTCTTTTGTGTATAATGAATAAACTCCTTCCCGTAGCCCGCTTTGTCCGAAAGTGACCCTCTTTCCAAGAGGGAGACGAAAGGGGGTGCATTCATGCAGCCTATGTGAAACCGTAACGGCTCTAAAAGATGGAGCAGCAGCACGGTCCGCAGCAGCCTCAAGAGCCCATTCCTCCCCCAGCGCCTGCAGATGCATCTCACGATGCTCTCCATAGTATGCCCGCAGCTGCAACCAAGGAACCTCCAGCCGAATCTCATGCTGCGCAAGAAACGGACCCTCCACGTAAACGTCGCCTCCTCTTCCCCAAGGCTCGCCCTAAAAAGATGCAGGAGTTCTTAGGCCGTCGCCTGAACACGTCTGCTGACTCTTCTGAAGGGTCGAGGTTCAGAGTAGTCGAAGTGGATGGTGCTCCATCTCAAGGCCACCAGGAACCGCAAGCATCAGCGGGGGATAGCATCGGAGGCGCAGACGGAAGGAGAAACGCCAGGAGGTCATTCGATGATGCAATGGCAAACGGACAAGCAATAGGCACCTGTCAACAGACACAAAACGCTCGTGGCGGGATAGAAGCCGAGGACCACCCGGTAGCAGGAGCTCAAAGCCATCCAGCAGCAGCCCGGGAAGATGCTTTGAGTGCTGACAAGCTTCAAATGAAAGTCGATGGAACTGAAACATCTTTGAGTTCGAACGTCGAACATCTCACGACACAAGGAGCATCTGAAGCCCATACCAACACACCGACAACGCCCCAAGGAGGAACAGCTACAGCTGGGGCAGCAGCTACCCCAGATGCTCTATCAGCATCAACAGCTCTTCTGGATTCTTCTTGCCTGGATGTGCAGCGGCTAACTCTGAAGTCGCCGACGGGGCACCAAGGGGAAGATGGTGAGGCTGTGTTAACTTTAGCGGGGCCACGAAAGAGCCCCCCAGAAAAGAGGCCATCGTCTGGGGCTTGTGATTGTGCAGAAGGAGAGGCACTGCATGGATTAGGGGACCTGGGGGACGGCGGGTTGGGGCCTTTGAAAGTAGAAGACTTTTCGGGAATTCCCCTCGCAGCCCGCCTCCAAAGTAAAGTAATTAAACAAAGAGCGCACGGATGTGACGAAGTGGTGGGCCGTCTAGATGCCTGCGGTAGCTGTGAGGAGCGGGTTAAGTTGTGGGAGGAACTGATGAAGCCTCACTTTGGCTCGATCGTTAAGGATACAAATGCCCTTATGGGAACCAAGACAGTTGAGCTGCTGCAGGCGCTTGTGGGGAGCACACCCTCAAAGGGTGCAACAGCAGCTCATGCTGCTGCCTTCCCCGCTGCTGCTGCGCTGCCACTGCTGCAGCAGCACGGGAAGCAAATCATATCGCAGATTTTGCCCAATCCGAAGCACTTCTCTGGCTGCTGTGACGTTCTGATACAGCTTAGTAGGGGCTCAGAAGCGTGTGTTACTGAAACCGTAAACATCGTAACAGCTAGTTGCCAGACGCTTCTAACGGAGAAGAAGGGAAACGTAGCAGCTATTAAGGGTCAGGGACTTAGGGTAATAGGCAGCAGCCTGGATCTGCTACTGAAGATGCTGGAAAGCTTTGGCTTGCAACTTGTGATGGCAGTTGGAGGAGTGCAAAATCTGATGAAGTCCATTGGTGCGTTTGCTGCCTGCAGCGACAAGCGGGTCAGGGGGGCTCTGTCCTCCCTTGCCGCCACTGCAGTGTACTTCACAGGTGCTATGGCAGGAGACACGGCGGGTGCATCAGCCAAAAAATCAGTTCTTGAGAGCTTGAAGAGCAGCAAATCAATGCAGACCGAGGTCGAAAAGCTGCTTGAAAAGTTTCAAACGGAGCCGCCTGCCTCTCCGTCCCTCGCCATTGCAGGAATGGCTGTTGAAGGTCAAACTTCTGCCAGCCCTCAAAATTCGGGGGGCAGCGGAGGCGGACAGGGCGGCGTGGGAGCGTCTCTGGCTTCGCGTTTCGTGACTGAGACGGATGTGATTAAGACTGTTTGTCAGCAGCAGACGGATTGGATCGTGAGGGCCACCGACGGGGTGCAACCTGCAGCACGAGGGGACAAAGAAGCAGAAGAACCCCCATGGAAGGTCAAGATGCAGGCATGGCAACAGCTGGAGACAGTCAGTCCCCTCTTTCTCGTTCTCCCTTCTCTTGCTGCTGCTCTAGCTGCCGAGGATGATACTGATAAAGCTGCAGCAAACCTATGGACTTTTTCTGCAGAAGGCGTGTTCATCATGCTAGTGTAACTTTGTTCTGCTGAATTGGTAGTCTTCCGCTGCTGACGATACTCCTTATGTTCTTGGGTTCTAGCTGTGTTGCCTGAGAAGTACGTCGTTAGTCATCCGGTTGCTTACCTATGTGCATTATTCTTATCTGCAGGCATTGAGGGACTGTGTGTGTTTGTACAAGAAGAACCCCTTTCTGCATCAGCAACTATTGCCCCTCCTGCATCGCGTGCTTACAGCTGAGCCCACTCTCCCAGTGGTGACATGCGCCCTAAAAACGCTGCAGATGCTAGTGCAGCTGCTGCTGCAGCCACTGGGTGGAGATGGCTCACAGCAACTACAACAGCAGCTGCAGCAACAGCTGCGCGGGCTACTGCCAGATGCTCTAGCGAAGTTGAAAGTTAACAACAGGCCGGTTCAGTCAGCTGCCTGCTCATGCATTGGGACTTACCTTTCATGCATCCCCTTGGATGTTGTGGTAGGGGACTTGCTGCCGATTAAAGAGAAGCTCGCGCACTACCAGAAGTTGCTGCTTGACGAAATAACCAAAGCAGCAGAACAGCAAGCGGGGGGGGCCTCAACTCTGCAAAAGGTTGCTGCGCAGCTCCTTGCAGCAGGCCGGACAGCAGCGGAAGACGGGAACGCCGGAGTGAGAGCTGCCGGAGTTGCACTGATTGCTGCTGTTGCGAAGCATACACAGGGCACTGTTGCAGTTGATGAAGCCATGCAGAAGCTCTCCGAACCAAAACGACAGCAGCTACAAAAGGCACTTGCGGCTGCTGGTTCGGCGCCAAAAGGAGCCCAACCCGTGATGCCCCCTCCCCGCCGTCCGCCGAATCAAGGAGGTCCTACCTCAGGCGTCCCGTTTTCGCGAATGCGTAGCCGCGGTGCTGTTGGCGCCTCAGTGGGAGCAGGAGGAGGAACACAAGCAGCAGCAGCTGCTGCGGTGCAAACCAGTACATCTGCTTCGGAGCGGTCAGGCGGAACTGGCGTCTCTGGAGTGTCCAAAAGCACTTTCCGCCGACAGGGAAGCGGAGCAGTAGGCAGTGCCAGTGCGCGCGTACCTCTCCAGCGCTTTGGTTCGTCAGGAACCGTACTGGGGTTGCCCCCCGGGGCAGGGGCGCATGGGGCGGCCGCTGCACCAGGAGGCCAATGGGAGGTTCCCCATGCAGCCACAGGTCTAGACGAAGCGGAGGCAAGGACAAAAGAACTGCTGCCTGACGACCTCCTGCAGAATCTTGAGGTCCCTGCTGGGCTGGAAAGGAAGAAGGCATACGAAGACCTTGAGCATTGGTTCCGTCAGCCTTGTGACTGCAATCTCTGCAGACATGCGCAAGACGAAATGGACACCGAAGAAAGACCAACAAGCACTAACAGCAGCAACAACAGCTCCTGCTGCCGACTCGAAACGCTTCGCAAGTCGGCCGTTCATGTTCTACTGCACCTGCGTTCCAAGATGAGAGGCTTCAGGGAGCGAACCGCCGCGTTAGAGGATGCATGCATTGCATGTCTTCAGGGCATCCTGGGGGGTTTGCTGCCTCCCGAAGATGTCTCCGCAGTGACAGCCGTAGCAGGGGCCGGCGGGGCAGGAAAAGACGCATCTAATTTGGGGAAAACGAACACACACAAGGGGACAGGCCTAAGAAGCCGGCAACTTCCTGCTGTTGATAAAGCCGTCATAAATGTGGTGTTGGAGCCTCTTGGAGACCGCCTAGGGGATCCGCGGGTGGGCAGCCCCATTGTGACCATTGGTCTTCTGTTGTCTAAGTGCGTAGACAGCCCAACTACAATTGCTGCTCAACTAGCCCTTCTTGCCGAAGGTCGCGTTGGGGGAGGCCGCATCGTACACGGCGTATGCCAGTTGCTCGAGCAGCTGCTGCAGCTGTGGGGTCTGCCGGCGTTCTCTCCGCCCAAGCAGTTGGTCATGATTGTTCGGCAGATGTTGGAACCCAGTAAGGTGAGAAAAAGGGATTGCAACAGCTTGGCAAGCCACCTGGCTTTTGGTCCGTCTCGTTTCTCGCGTTCTACCCACGTTGCCGTCTAAAGTAGAGTTTGGTGCATTTGCCAGTGCTACTCTGTGCTTCTGTTAATACCTGAGCAGGGATCACGTTCGGTCGTCTTCCCCCTGCTGAAGCGGTTGTATGCGGAGCTTGGTGATAAAACCATGTCCGCTATGCTCGTTGCCCACCCGCTGCCCGACGAGGTAAAGCACGCGCTCAAGCAACAACGGCAACAACAGCAGCATCAGCGGGAGCCGCAGTTGCAACATGCACAGCACACATCGGAGGACTCCACACCAACTTGGGAGCTTGCAGTCGCTGCACTGACAGCAGGCGCTGCCGCTGCTGCGACAGCAGCTGATTCTGTCGCCTGCGCAGAACGCCCGTCGTCAACGGATAATTCTTGTGTTTCGGTGGCGCCATACATAGGCTCTGACTTGCTGCAGCGTCTCCAACAAGGCCACGACGAAGAGACAGTTGTCAAAGGGCTGAACGAGCTCATGCATATCTTTGTAAACAAGGTTGGGGGGAGGATCAAGCCTGAAGGTGCGGCCCCGATTGCACCTCTGAACCATTTGTATGGGTTGTCGAGTGTCTGCATGTTCCATTTATTTCTCTATGCATGCGCTATTAGAAGGCATGCATGAATCCTGTCATTTAAATGTAGTGCCTACGCAGGTTGGCTCGGGTTTACTGAGTCACAGAGTTCAGTGCCTGTAAATATGTAAGGACGTAAGGATATGTTTAGTCAAAGGAAATTAGGAAAACGTCAAATTGATTTCGTGTGCACGACGACTGAACTAAGCCAATACCTCTCTTGTGTTCCAATGCTGTTCGTAAACCAGTTACGCGCGCATGCCGCGCTACGCAGTTGCCGAAAGCGCATCACATACTCCTCGTCATTGAGTTGGAAAAATTTCGCTTGTGTCTGTTCATTGGCTGCGACTTAGGGCTGAGTGGTCTCGTATCGTTGCTGCGGAAACGTCTAGGGGATTCGAGTGCTTCTGTGAGAAGGCACGTATTGCTGGCGCTGGTTATTTTTTGTGACCGCCTCGGAGTCGACACTCCCCAAGACGCTGGTAATGCAGTATCCTCACCTCCCCCCGCCCGTGTCTACAAACAGATGCTGCCTGCAGCGGCTGAATGCCTTTGCGACTCCGACAAAAAGGTAAACATTTGCAGCAGGGAGAGAGATACTGTATATCTCTCCTGCATTGTCCTGCGTGTTGTATACGTATTCGTTCTTGGAAGCCATCTTCAAGTTGCGCTTGTTCGCGTTTGGCCTGTGCGAGGAAACAAAAGACTGTTGCTGTTTGCTTGACGGCTTGTCTCAGCTAGCATTCTGCGAAGCTGCTGTTAGACAAGCGCTTTGCAACCCAGCTCTACGTCTCGGCAAAAGGGGCGTCTAATGCCTTTTTAGTCGCTTCTTGGTGTCTTGTCAACTTTACAGGTTATGCAAGCAGCTTACGTTGCAACTGCCAGGTGGATGACTGCTTTGGGTCTCGCGGAGTCGATGGCGCTACTGAGCCCCTTCCTTTCCAGCAGCAACAACACCAGCAGCACGACAGGAGCCACTTCTCTCTCTAACAGGCCCTTTGCTGGGGCCGTTCTGCGACGGGCCTTCTCTATCGGTTCATCGGGAGTAATATTACAGTATAAGAACTGCAAGATAAAAGAGGCTCTGTTTGCTCTGCTGAGCGTTGCCATGCCGGTGGAAGCCTCACAGAAGTCGCTGTTGCTCTCTTCACTTGTACCTCACCTCCTGGATGCGGCAATTCCGCAGCTTCGCGGAGAAAGTTCTTCGGGATCTCCTGCGGCCAGTGCCCTGCTATCTCTTGTTGTGCACGAGGCCTGCCCGCCTGAAGCTATCATTGAAGTGATGCAGCAGAGACTGTCCGGGCAGGGGCAGCCGTCGCTTCCAGGCCAATCAGCAGAGACTGCCCTCAAGCAAGTCCTAGTTTCATCTGACATCCTGCAGCGTCTGATCAAAGCGCGGCAGGGAGCTCAGGCTACTGTGCGGGATCCCCTCTTGAAGACTTTGCAGTCGCCGAGCGGAGCCAGCACAAGGAAACCCCCGCTACAACAAGACCACCAAACGAAAGCTATGGATCTTGTTTCGGAGGAATCCACTCGGGCTACGACGCCAGCTTGTGCGCCCGACGTATCAACAAGCATGCCTTGTTCTGATGGCAGTCCTGTGGTTCTCTCGACGCGCTCTCAGCGGATCCAGAGGAGCAGTGGAGCAGGGTTTGCCACTCTTAGGCGACAACCCGTTTCTCCGCGGGAAGAGCTGTACCAAGAACTCAGAGGACGCGTTGAGTCCAACATCTTGCTGCTCATGTTTCCGTCCCACGGTTCTTCAGCAGCAGGAGGCAGCAAACAAGGAGTGCCTCAGTTGTCGCAACTCAAGGCACTATACGATGCCTGGAAGCCCCTTTTTGGCATCGAATGTGATGCAGCCGTCACTGCAGGGCAGTCTGAATCTCGCATGCATCCTCTACAAGGGGAAAAGAGCATTACGGACCTACTTCTAAAGTGGATTGCATATTGGTAAGTTGCCGCGATGCTGTATATTTCATTGTATTGTTCCAGCCACAGACGCACCGAACTTGTGCCAGCAGCCATCGCCTACTCCAGCCCGTTGAAATTGACGATTGGCAGTATTTAGTTTAGCTGATCAAGCCAATCTGGCGGCGGAGATGAGGCCTAGGTACAGTATCACACCATTCCTATCTATACTGCTGATGTATTTATGCAGTAGTGCAACAATTTGCTGCGCGGGGTGTGGGTGTGCAGCGTGGCAGAAGTTCTGCAGCAGCCGCGGAATGCCCAAACCCAGGAGTCTCTTTCTGTCCTGCTCCAGTTGCTGCAACTGGTGATGCAGCCCTACAACAGCCTGCGCGTACCTTTACCTCTCTATGAGCAGCAGCAGATCTTGCAACAGCTACTGGATGTTGCTTCTGCATGCGCAACCACTCCAAACGCAAGGGGAATACCGACACCAAAACCGATGTCGAAGCAACCACGCCAGCTCGTGCGCGAGACCCTACTGCTGCTAGCAGCGATTGTAGAGGACCGCCCTAGGTTTCTTTCTGCAGTTCACAGAAGCCTTATCCGATGCAAGAACAAGGAGTGAGTCTATCCGCCTCTGCTTAACGTGTATACAGGTGGAAATGTGTTGTCTGCTGTTCGAATGAGGGTCGGTCCCAGCCGCTGTTCTGCGCCAACACCGGCTCGCTTACAGCAACTCCGATCCTCTGAAGGAGTGAGCTGGGAATGTGTCACTTTGTGTTCAGACTACTTTTAGACTTGATGGCTGCGATGACCCGCGCATTGGGACAGCATGTGCAGGTTCAGCTGCAGGCTAAGGGGGGTGCTACGTCTTACAACGAAACACTCAGTGACTTTCTTTCTCAGCAGTGTGCTGCCCGGTTCTTCGCCCTGTTCACGGACTCAAAGGCTTCAACCGAGCAGCGCAATTTGGCTTTTGATTTCCTCGTTCTATGCAATTTAGCATTGAAGGGAGGAACTCTCCAGTAAGTGCCACTGTTGTCACCAGCGAGTGCATCACCTTTATTTACGCCGCATTTGTTCACACATGTGCAAACGTGTGTGTGTTCACACACGTTTGCATGTGTGTGAACACGTGCAAACGATTCATTGATGGAAAGCTGCTCCCATCATGTCTGATCGCAGCCTAGTGGGCTAGTTTTGCGGTTTCTGCTTGCAGCTTGTTGCCTTCCCTCTCTCCTGAATGCCGGGCTAGAGTGGTTGAGGCGACTAAGCAGATAGCCGCTTCCGGACTTTCTCAAGGGCGGCTCGAAAGCATGACTGCCCACCACGGGGACGGCTGCAGCAGTGCAGGCGAGGAGACTGCGGATCAGCCCAATATAGGGCAAGCGCCTGCAACTGGTCCACCATCACAGGCAGCGGGTAAGGTTCCCTCATGTATCTTTTCTTGCTTGTCTGTAAAAGTTTACTTTTCTTCATGCACGTGTAATGTGTGAATGTGATACTATTTATCTGCGTGCGTTTTGGAATTGGCCCAAGAAGCCTCCGCAGATATTGGATCCATTGACACAAAACTCCCAGGCTCCGACCTCAGCGACCATAACAATTTCGGCATGTCGCAAGCCACAGAGGGTACGAGATTAATGGTGAAAAATGTAGAACAGCTCTAGACGAAGATTACTGTGAACTAGGGCGTTGGAGCCAAATATACTTTGCTCCTACTCGTGTTTCTCTCAGCGTCAGTGAATTCTCAGGGTATTTACATTGTGTGAATGAGCTACACTTCGCGTAGCATGCATGGCCTTTGCCTGTTGACTGTTGTTCCCAGTTGTTCCTGATGCTGTGGAGACGACAATCGCCAAGCCTGCAAGTGTGGACTCCGCCACCTCTGCTTTAGTACAAGCAGTGGCAGAGGCAGATGCGTTGCTGCAGACGGGAGAAGAAGAACTGCGGCAACAAACTAGCGCTCTGGAGGGCTGGCTAACAGCCGCAAGAGAGCTGCGTGCGAAAACTAAGTCAGCCGGTGTTGCTTTCTCTGTTCATCTTGACTCGACGCTGAAAAAACCGGAAGGTTCTGTGCTCAAATACGATTCGAAGCACAGCCAAACAAGTTTGGAAGCAAAGGAGGCATCCAATATCCCGGTTGAATTGCTCTGCTGTCTTACGGCTTTAAAGACATGGTGCGCAGAGCTAAAATTGAGGTCATTGCCGCGAGCTGCATTTGGAGCGCACTGTTTACTTTTCCTGCTGACTTCGGCTCCTCCCAACCAAAACAGCGCGGCAGCCACGGCTGCAACAAAAGCGGCAGCTGCTGCATCACAAGCTGCCGTCGATGGAATACATGGGAAATCAGCGGACGGCACCATGCAGCAGCAAGAGGGTGACCAACCGCTGACCCGTCGGAGCAGCCGGCAGCACATTCAGCTGACGCCCGTCGGCGAGGCAGTGATGAGTGCTCACCCCCTCAGCTCTCACTTTGTGATCGATGGAGTCACCAAGGCGCTTGAATTCTTTTTCGAGCCTCAACATTATGAAACGCTGCATGGTGCTGGCCTGAGTCTTCAAGGTGCCGCTTCGGCCTTGTTGATTGCAGAGGCCATTACACGCTGGCGAATGCAGTTTTACAGAACCTCAAGTAGCTCGGCCTCGTACAAGCAGAAAAGGATGAAGGTGTCCTACTTGAGGGACGGAGGCTTGATGCCACTGCCAGACAAGGACTTGTTGCAGCAGTGCTGCAGCTGCCTCCTCTTGTGCATGGGAAGATACCAGGATTATCTCTACAAAAGTCCAATCGCTGTCAGTTCATCCTCCCTGGCAGGTTCACATGCCAATTGCAACCCAGCTGTGTATTCCAGTTAAGCATACAGATGTGCTGCTGCGTTCTATCTGACGATGGCTGTGGTATGGGCGGGGTGAGCGTTCGTTTCAGATGGATCCGCGTCTTGGCTCCGTGCGCTACTTGGTAACCTTTCTTCTAAATCAAGTCCTCGGAAGAAGCATTTTGCAGGGGGATGCCCGTGTCCTGTAAGCTGCCTGCTTCCCTCCGCTTTACTTACCCCCGCTCATCCTAGGCATGGCCTGCGCGGGAAATATACCGGTAGTCTAGGGCTAGCTAGGAGGGGTCATCCGTTCATGTAGCTTGCAGAGCCCGTTACTGCTTTTGGGGTTTTTGGACACTGCAGATCGTCCATCGCTGAATGCTGCTTTTCATTAGCAGCTCAGAATATGGGCAGTGCTTCCGATAGCGTTCAGAGGAAGCATTCCGTCACCTTATGGCGGCTCGTCAGCAAAATCCATAAGAAGGCGGTGCCTCTGCTGGAGAAGCATGCAACAGCAGAACTTCAACAGCGAAAGGGGGTTTCAGGTGTAGAATTCGCCGAAGTGGAAGAACGATACATTGTAGAGGCCCTTAGTATCTTAGACCTCATAAGTGTAAGTGTCGTAAAGCTGCACGAGGAGTCAATTGGGTTTCTGAAACAATAGGCTTGAGTGAACCATATGTAAACTTGAGTGAATGCACACTGTGCTCGACTTTGCGCTGTCCCTGGACTATGCAGACGGTTGTGACATCCCTTTCTCGCTTAGAAGGTGCCTATCATGCTGCGAAGCTTCTGATAGAGCAGCGCCACCAGCACATCCAAAACCGAAAGCAGACGGAAGAGAATGGCTTGCAGCAGGGGCTTGAGAGTCGCGAAACGTCGCTCATAGCGCTTCAAAGAGAGAGACGGATGTTTCTCCTTCATGCAAAACTCTTCATGCATTCATTTGTAACTTTGTGGTACGGGAAACCCTAAGGTATTCCATACGCATAGTAGCTGTCTGATGAGCATAGATTGAATCAAGCCAATTCCCTAAAAGATGCAGAGTGTACTCGCAACAACATAATTCTAATGGCTACCGCATGTGGAGCAAGCTGTAAAAAGTATCCGTTTTATGTTGTACAATGTTCTGCAGCCCGGCACTTCTGGGCGTTCATCTGGAGGCAGCAGGAATAACAGAATCTGCAGAACGGAGTGAACGGCTGGAGCGACTGCTGCGCAGCAATGGTGCGGACGAAGAACATGATGCTCAAATGAACGTGGACGAGCCATCTTCACTTGCAGCAGATTTACATAGTTCGGTGCCGCAAGTTCGAGGAGCAGAAGAGGCCTGCAGAGGACTGAGCAACTATTCATGTGCAGCGAGTGCTGCTGCAGCGACAGCTTGTGATATTCAGCAGGTTGTGGCACGCCACCGGAGGTTTCTTGAAGAAGCAGAAAGAGCACAGTCCGAGGACTGCTCGATGCAAGTTGATTCGCCATCCCCAAACGACAATAACAATTCAGCTTTGATAGAGGCTTTTCTTAAGGTACGTGAATTCGTTTCCACCCGAGTAGAATCACGCACCATATAGCGTTGAGCATATGCAGCGGGGATGTATATTAAAAGACTGACCGCCTTGCATTTCACTGGTACTCGATGGTGGAGTACTCTGGAATTGGCTGACGGCACGGCATATCTCCTTAGCGTTTTCGTTTTGGATGCCTTTGTCCTCGGTGGTTCAACGCACCTCGTATCCATGAGCAGAAAATACTGCATGCGGGAATCTACCATCCACCGAGCATATCCTGCAGCTGTCCGATACTTGTGTTGATCAGGCAAAACGGACAGCACTTGGCGCTCTCCTTGTCCGGGGAGGCATTGATCCTTCGAAAGTGAGTGACGTTTGGCAGTACATGTCATGCTCTGGATCTCTGGCAATGTTACCTCAACGATGCCAGCCACAGTTTTGTTATCTTAAATCCAATTTGACCACAATATTCATGTACGGATGCCCGATGGTTGCACTGCATTTCCTGGCCCCACACTGCTGCATTGCTAAGGCGAAGATTATCAGCCTCATACCCATTTCAGTTTTTCTTACTATTGGCTGTTCAGGATCAGAAGGTGGGCCCCTTTGGTGGCAGCGCCTTACGTTGGCTCTGCACCGGCGGCCATTCGATTAAGCAGCAGCCTTACGACAGCAGCGATGACTTCATGCTTCACCCCTTTGTGCAGAAAGTTCGAGAATGCCTTTTATCTCCCGCTCAGCAGCACACACTGCTACATAATCATTCTAGCGTGTCTTCTCGCCCAAGTGCTCTTGATAATTCAGCTTGCAACGGCATGCACATGCTTAGATTCTGTGCTGGCACGTCAGCGGTTCTCCCTCACCACAAGCTTGCAACACTGAGGGCTGAAGCTGCAAATCGTGACTGCGTTCCAACAGATTGGCTTGATGTCGGGTCAGTAGGTCGATCTTACAAGCTAGAACCCCAGCCGTCTCAAGAGAGTTCCAGCGTTCTTCCCCCGCATTTGAATTCATCTGAAGCTCCACACATGAATTCTGCCAGCTGCGCTCAGCCAGAGCCTTCTGGCTGCGGGAGAGCAAAGCGGAGCGGCGAGCTTCCTAATGCAGTGGGAAGTATGGGCAATGGCTGCTTACCGAATGATGCGAACGAAGTCACGGCAGAGAGAGATGCTGTTGCTGATTCCGCTGGCTCCTGCAGTACTCAAGCGCTTGTGAGGAACTACGATGCCACTACTGGTAAAGGCTCAGAACCCCCATCCACTACACGAATTATGAGGCATGGTCCGCAGCGTCCGGCCACCGGTTCCTTCGGGCGCTCTAACTCCATGCGGGATGTGGATAGGCATCCCGGGGAATTGCCTTCCACTCCCATGACGGCTTCAAGATTACCCCAGTGGAAAAATTCCAGACCTTCGGTTCCCTCAGCTTCTCCAACTGGTTCACACGAGAGGCATATGCGTGGTTCTAGCAGCTTAAGCAGGCGCCCTAGAAAGCCAGACACACTGTGCTTCTCCCAGCCTACCACAACTGATCCGCAATGAGACGCTGTCAAAGCAGCCGGGCTCTCCAGCCGCCTATGCTCTTTTTCGAGTACGTATTAATTCCTTTCCCACGTGTCATATGAGCTGGACTAACTCAGATGCTTCATTTCATATACCTGGGGGGTTTCAACATGTTGTGAGGTAGTTTTGGCCTCTTTTCCTCGCTCTTAAAACGCAAGTCTATTTTCAAAGAAATAGGCTCTGAAGGCCACTGATATGTGTGCTCTCAAAGGCGCGTACGCCACAAATTTGTGTAATTCAGTGTACTGTCCGGAAATAAGGAGGTATTTGTGTGCACAGTTGCTCCTGTTATGGCAAAGCAAAACCAAAAGGGGTGCATGCGCTAGAGGCAACTACAGCTATGAGTCCAGAATCCATGTAGAAATCCGGTACCGGAGGTAGCAGCACCAACAATGAGCCCCTAGCATTTAATGGAGACAAATCTAAAAGGCTGCTTCACCTCTCAACAACTCATAGTTCGACGTCTAGTGGAAACGAAAGGGGCAGTGCCTACGATATTGTGTTATACATACGTCATACTCAGGGATACCTGGGGAGAGGTGTCTAGAGTGGGAGGTGTAAATTGTTGCATTTGGCCCTCTTCACTTGTTGGAAAATAATGGAAGAGTCGATTTACGCGAGGTAGAGTCTTTGGACAGCACGGATTCAACAATTCAGCTGTCGCCATCGGGAGCTGCATTACTGAGGCTCGCAAAAGCAGAGCAACGCAAGTCTCTCCAAAATGGGGAGGTAAAGCAAAACGTCCCTACGTCAAAACCAGAAGTCCAACGTTGTTTCACTGTTTTCGGGTTTTTCCATAGGCGAAAAAGGCTCCTCGACGAGCCGTGTTGTGGTACAGCTCGATGTAGGCTGCGACTACGTACATACTCTGATCAGGCTACGCGGTGCACCTAAATTTTTGCCCGCAAAAACCTTTTTCTTAACCTTAAAATAATCCTAATCATATTTGTAAAATCAACACACAAAGTCCATTGCAAATTTATATGCAAAAGGAGATCCGAAATAGATCTGTCTCACCAGACGCGTGAAGCTGGGACAGTGCCTCAGCGTTCCAGCCAGCCCCACGACCGGATGGGCTGGTGGAGCTCATACCATGTTTGCCGTACTTCATGAACAAATGCTCAAAATTATCACTAATACTATTTTATGCCATTTCCTTCCTCGGAATATACCGCTAGAGGTTTCGCAGTGTGAACCCTTGTAGAGCCTGTGCACTACACGTGGTGCCGCCGCATCGACTTAGGGCTTGTGCTACTGTTCACGTTCCTGACGCCGAAGATAGCTCTGTACGGGCCCCTTAATAATTTTTAAAATATTTATGCATGTGCTTCTTGAGTAGAAATAGCTTTGTCTGGCGGAAGTTTGTATGGAGATCGGTCCATTACCGCATTTTATTGGAAGGCAACCTGTGCACCGCTCCTCCACGGTTTTGCAGGTGTCCAGCGGAGACTGACGGTGTAAATCCGCGTCCGCTACTTATTTGACATATTTTCATCACTTAGAATGCTCCAGAAAATGTCTCAGGATTGTGGCAGCCAGGTGGGCAACGTAACTGCGGCTGTGACAACGAAATTGCCCATTGGTTCCCATTGGGAAGCCTTCCTCGAGTTCACTATTGGGTATAGGTACCATACAGCAACGTGACTGTCAAAACAGAGTGAAGGTACTGTCGGCCAGTCAATAGAGAGATTGTTTTCCTGAAGGAAGGCCACACGTGCGATGTCTGCGGCATTTGTTTGTTACCTGTGGGACTGGTAGGTTGCACAAGGGAGGATGAGCTTAAACAGCAAGTCCATTGCTGCACCTGAAGATGCTCGATACATTGACGCCTTTCGCTTTGTGGCTCTGGAGAGGTAAAACTGCAGAAGAGCATCTATCCCTGATTGTGTTGCATCTCGTGAACAACTGACACAAATCTTATCAACTCATCCGGTTCCCCTTTATTCAGAGAGAAAGATCCCTGGCGCGACGGCTCGACCCTCCCTGTTGCCACTACCAGAGACACGTATAAAAAGGAGATTGCTACACCAACGGGCGCCCCAGCATGGGATATAATGGAGCACAAGGTCCTCAGGTTTTTTAGCTACTTCAATGAGCACGTCGACGAATCAAGGGCGGAAAATTATCGCAGCAGGCCATGCGAAATCTTGTATTACCTGGAGGTCGGCATTTGCATATAATCAGAATGCCATTATTTATGTTCTTAAACTCAGTTGCAATGCGCAAAATACCGCCGTCTCTGCGGTATGTCGCATAGGACGATACCATGGAAATCGTCGAGCCCAATATCGACAACAGCGGCATGCACAGTGGCTCCTTAATCAAGAGGCATCGATTTCCCAATGCGGCTGACCCTGAAAAGCTTGTGTCACCGGCAGATCTGCTTGTTGGCAAAACTTTCACAGCATACGGGAAGACATTCGCAATAACATCATGCGATCCTTTCACACGGGTGGGGCTTTTTTCGAGTGTGCCATGTTACTAGTATAGAATATATTCAATCTCCCGCATCACCATGGTGTTGAGCTTAGGTAAGCTATATTCTCAAGCAATGAGCTGTGTTTTTGTGAAGGACTGGTACAGGGCCTCGGGAATGAACCAGCCGCCTAACTGCACCGTAGACTTCCCAGCCAGTATCGGTTATTCATGCGACAGGGTGCAAAGCAAGCACCGCACACAAACGTATGACATCAGCGAAACGCGGAGCCCTTCTAGTTGACATGTTGGACTGGTTAAGCCAAACCGAGTGCCCCACATGCGGCATTATGGAATGGTTGATGTGGACGCTTGCAGAGCAACACCAAACTCAGCCAAGCAATGCATCGATGACTTTTACGAACGCGTTGAAAGCCCTGAGCCGGTGAGAGTGCATCCCACACTGAGCAAGTGCTTGATTCCAGCAGTGGGCTTCTACGCACTCAAATCGGTTCGCTGCCACAGAGCTTGGCGCGCAGGTCTGTAGATTCAGGGCCTTCTTCGATGACGACTTCACAAACGTGGTTGAGAGGCGAATGTACACAATACTGTATTTTCCCAGGTACACATTGCTAAACAAGCATGCCCACTAGTTTTGAGTATCGGAGGACCACGTGGCCTATATCGCATATGAAACGCTGGTGCATGCAGTGCAGCCATCTTTCTATCCACCTGTTGTGAATTTTTTGCCGTACTTAGAGATGACACAGTGGAAATTCGAGAAAACCTGCCATCCCATGGAGGGCAACGGTTTACAATATTCATTAGCAGGAGAAAACTGCTAAAGGGTGAGGCAAGGAATCCCCCCCCCCCCCCCCCCCCCCCCCCCCCCCCCCCCC